TGTGTGTGTGTGTGTGTGTGTGTGTGTGTGTGAGTGTTTGTTTGTGTGTGTGTTTGTTTGTTTGTTTGTTGGTTTGTTTGTGTGTGTGTGAGTGTGTGTGTGTGTGTGTGTGAGTCGCTGGAGCAGCAGGAAGTGTAGTATTCCTGAGGTCTGGAATCCCGGCGAGCGCTGCGGATGTAAACATGCACTCTTGCGTCTCTGTCGTCACTGCTGGATGTTGTTCTAGCACTTCAGCACCTCTTCGTGTTCAGTCTCAGGTGCTCAGCGTGTTTCCCGTCTTCAGATGTTCATGTGCTGCTGTGTGTCTGACTGCTGCTGCTCAGTCATGCTGGATGGTAGTTTGGCAGGTTTACACGTGTGTGTGTGCATATATGAATGATTGTTTGCGGTCAGCTGACACACACACATGCACACATACTCACACACACACTCTCTCTTACACACACACAGACACACACACACACACACACATGCACACATACTCACACACACACTCTCTCTTACACACACACAGACACACACTCTCACTCTTAAGTTGTGCTGTAGTTATAGAAGAGTTAGCTGGTTAAAGGTGAGCTGTATTCATTCATCTGCTGAATTAAAGCCTCTTATTAAAATTCAGAGTGACTGGCATCATTAGTAACCATGGTTACCGTTTCCATAGATACAGGGGTTGAGCACCAGCTTCCCAGCATTTCCTGTTTATTCAAATGATGTTCTCGATGATGTCGTCTTCTGTCTGAAAAGATGTTATAAATGACCCTTTGCTAAGCTCCGCCCCTCTCGGTTACAGTTGCCAACACAAAGCTTTACTGAACATAGCACAGGAGAGAGAGAACTGTGCTTCTTTTTTATTTTTATATATTATATATATTATTGTTTTTTTTTTTTTTTTAGAATGTGCATATATTTATAAATATATTTATTACATTTACATATTATTAACATATATATAGTTTTAGTTTTTTATTTTTATTTTATATAAGTGTTTTTAATTGTATAAATATCTAAAATAAATGTTATATGTAGGAGTGTTAGGATTGCTCAGGTGTGTTTTTTGTGTTCTGCAGGTGATGCAGATGGACGGATCGGGCCGGCGGGTGTTGGTGGATGATAACCTGCCGCACATCTTCGGTTTCGCGCTGCTGGGCGACTACATCTACTGGACGGACTGGCAGCGGCGCAGCATCGAGCGCGTGCACAAACACAGCCTGGAGCGCGAGGTGATCGTCGACCAGCTGCCCGACCTCATGGGAATCAAGGCCACATACGTCCACCAGACCTTCGGTGAGCAGCTGTGATGTCATTTCCTCCCTCGAGTCACTCAAACCTCCACCAGCTGCTTTCTTCTGTAAAAGAAGATACTTTAAAGAACAGTTTCAGATCAGTTTTGCTTCCCATTGACTTCCATTGTATTTTTTGTCCATATAATGAAAGTCAGTGGGAACCAAAACTCTCTGGTCACCAGCGTTCTTCAAAATATCTTTTTTATATTTGAATGACTTTAGGGTGAGTAATTGATGACAGAATGATTGTTTGAGGAGTGAAGGATGGTCTTGTTGTGTGTGTGCTGAGCTGAATCTCTGTCTGCGCAGGTATGAACCCGTGTGCGCTCGCTAACGGCGGCTGCAGTCACCTGTGTCTCTATAAGCCGCAGGGCGTGTCGTGCGCGTGTCCCATCGGTCTGGAGCTCATGGCCGATCTGACCTCCTGCATCGTCCCCGAGGCCTTCCTGCTGTTCTCCCGCCACACGGACATCAGGCGCATCTCGCTGGAGACCAACAACAACAACGTGGCCATTCCACTCACCGGCGTCAAAGAGGCGTCCGCGCTCGACTTCGACGTCACCGACAACCGCATCTACTGGACAGATATAACGCTGAAGGTGAGACACACACACACACACTCACACACACACACACACTCACTCACTCTTACACACACACACACACACTCACTCTCACACACACTCTCTCTCTCTCTCTCTCACACACACACACACACACAACACACACACACACTCTCACTCTTATACACACACACACACACACACACTCTCACTCTTATACACACACACACACACACACACTCTCACTCTTATACACACACACACAGGCCTGAAGCGCAGCTCAATAATGGCTCTCTGTAGCTGGGAAATAATTGATGGCTGATGTTTCTCTCTTCAGGGTTTGTTCTGTGTTTTAGCAGAGAGTCGAGCCGAATGAATCCACACTCATTAATCGGTCTTATTGTTATTTTTAACCAAGTCAAAGCTCTTTTAATGTAATTGTAGAAACGTCCAGGTTTTGCTGTCAAATCTTGACTGATTTTTATCAAGTAAAGGTCAGAATAACTGCAGTAATATCTCCAGATGAACACTTACTGGACTGAAGCAGCTCAGCTTTGTGAACTGTAGCTGCTAGAAACATGTCAACAGTTCAACTAACAAAGTAAGCTGTTGATGACAGTCATTGATCTAACAGAAAAAATGATGAGGTTCATGCAGATCTTGTGTTGCGAGGAGCTCTGGTTTAGAGTTGTTACACGACAAACTACTAAACACTGCAGACGTCTAAGAGTCTGAGTACAGTTTAAATCCTGAACTATCAGATGATCTGACTGACTGAGAGAGACGTTTATGAATAATTTACACTAAATACAAGCAGAAACACACTGATATTCAGCAGATATTCACTCCTCAGAGAGAGAGAGTTGTGTGTGTGTTGCTCGAGGTCTTACAGCTGCTTCTGCTGATCTCATGTGGAGTATCTGCTCGTTTCTCTAACGAGGCGTCTGGGGTGCGACACCGTCTCTCGCTCACACACACACACACACACACACACACACACACACACACACACGCTCTGTGTTGATG